GGAAATTTATCTGAGAGTATATTCGCAGTTCGTCATGTCTCGGTTGCACCGTTACGCGTTTCGTTTGTAGAGCTGCTAATAATGAGTTAGAACTGAATGCTTGAGGTTCCGCTATGACTCTGCGCGCTCAGAGAATTTTGGTTGAATTAAAATTAAGCGAAAGCTTCTTGAAACATTTGCCAGATGAGCTTATCACAGTTTCATATTAACTTTCGTATCACACGGATCGCGCAACGCAATCGCTGTTCAGATCACATTCAGATCAACGTCCGTACACATCTATATATACATATATATATATTTACTGTTATTTGGCGCGTTCAATAATGCATTCCAGTTATCAAAATCGACGCCAGTTTGTCAAGGTTTGTGCGTTGTTTCGACTTGGTTTTTAGATCACACTGCTCAACCAAATTCCTGCCACAGGCTCGGCTGCTGCAGCTGCTCCTGTTCCTGCTCCTCCTCTTTGCCAGCTGTGCCGCACGCCCTCCCACGCCCCATACCATCTACTACAACAATCAGCCGCCAGATGCGAAGGGAAACTACCAATTCGAATTCCAGACCTCCAATGGCATCACCACCAAGGGCGCGGGCAACGAGGCTGGCGCCGTGGGCGTGGTCCAGTACGTATCCAAGGAGGGCCTACCCATAACCTTCACCTATGTGGCCGACGAGAACGGCTACCAGCCGAGCGGAGATCACGCCATCAAGCACCTAGAGCGACAGCTGGAATACATACGCACGCATCCAACCGTAGACGAGGTGCTATCGAGGCGTTGGTAGTGAATCCTGAACATATACATATATTAGATTTATATATAGCAGATCTAGATAAATTGCGCGACTGTCAGCGAGGGAGATAAGAACGCATTATTGTTAATATTATTATTATAATATCTGTAGCGAGCAGACGATTGAAATGTGAAATTGATGTTTATGGATATTAAATGCAAATCGGGAATAACGTTTTGAGTGAAACAGAAAAATAAATATATGTACATACAAAAACAAATATATATGTATATACATATAAAAAATTCTTTATTCATTCCATCAGCGGACTACTTAACCTTGTCTCTTAAGCCGAGAACCTCTTCTATTGAAAACGAAAGTGCTGCCAGGAGGCATACAGAGGCTTGCATATGTGGCGTAATTTGATATTAACATTTTCAAATGACGTCGCTGACTTAATTTCAATATTTAATGTATTCGACATATATCTGAACGCTTATAAAGTCAAAAATTAAATATTTTTACTCTTTATATATAACATTTAAAATGCATCATACACCTTCCAGACTTTTTTATGGTTATAGAGAACTGAAACCTGTTGCCTAGCAGCTGCAGACTATCAAAAATATGTTAGGCGATGAACTCAAAAAGAAAAATAATATACATATACTTAAAAGAGAGCAACATAACTTTTAATTATAATTCTCTAAAAGATAAATTAACTTAATATTCAATGAAATTAGGCAATTTATATATATAATACTGAATGCTTTAGTCACGCTGTCTCGTCCGAATATGAACCGAAACATCTAGGGTTCATTTAGGGCCTCCTTTACTTAAGATGAATATACATATATACATATGTACATATAGAGCAAATATATCTCAACTTTGATAAATATCGCTTTGGCTGATAATCCAAAAGACTTTTAATTAAATGACTTCATTTAGCAACTGATTAATGTGCACATTAAAAGCATCAATTAATAACATTCAATTAACATACATTAGATAAATAGCTGACACATTTACATCTTCAATTTTTCGTTTTACCAAAATGGCAAGTCGAACAACCTTTAGAACGACTTTCGATTCGTAACGCTAAACAGAAGAGGCAGAAAAATAAATA